TATCTATCTTTCTCGTGCCGAAATAGCTCAGTTGGGAGAGCGTTAGAATGAAGATCTAATGGTCCCAGGGTCGATCCCGGGTTACGGCAGATCAGTTGAATTACACCAAGGATGATATTTGATACTCATCTCGGTAGTATGCTTTTATTAACTGTATAATTGTCCTAGAGAAACTTTAAACTTCCATTATTTTGTTCACATATTTATACTTCTCGTACCGAAATAGCTCAGTTGCGAGAGCGCTTGTCATAGATCTAAATCTCTATTGTTCGAGCCCGGGTTTCGGCAGATCAGTTGAATTTATTCAAGGGACATATTTGTTTCTCTTCTCGGTGGAATTCTTTATTTAATATATAATTGTAAGAGAGAAACTTTAAATCATCGGAATTCTGTTCACATACCAATGCGTCTCGTACAGAAATAGCTGTTTGCCGACCGTTAGACTGAAGATCTAACAGTCCCGGGTTTCTGCTGATCAGTTGAATTTCTTTCAAGGAGATATTTGTTTCTACTCTCGGTGGCATGCTTTATTTAACTGTATAATTGTCCTAGAGAAACTTTAAACTTCTATTATTTTGTTCCCATATCTATCCTTCTCGCGCCGAAATAGCTGAGTTGCAAGAGCGTTTGTCATAGATCTAAATCTCTATTGTTCGAGCCCGGGTTTCGTCTGATAGGTTGAATTTTTTGAAGGAAGAGGTTTATTTGTAATGTAGGCGGCACGTTTTCCCTAAGTGTATAATTGTCCTAAGGAAACATTGAATTTCCGGAATTCTCTTCACATACTTCTACTTCTTGTGCCGCATTATTTCAGTTGGGAGAGCGTTAAACTGAAGATCTCTAGTTCCCGGGATTCGTCAGATGAGTTGAATTTCTTCAAGGGAATTATTCTTTTCTCCTTTTGGTGGCAGCTTTTTTTAAGTGTATAATTGTCCTAGAGAAACTTTAAATTTCCGGTAGTCTGTTCACATATCTGTACTTCTCGTGCGAATTAGCTCAGTTGGGAGAGCGTTACAATGAAGATCTAATGGTCTCTGGGTCGATCTCGGGTTACGGCAGATCAGATGAAATTCTCTCTAGGATTTAATTTTTATAAAATTTAATGCATGATTTTTTTAAATATATAGAGAAATTATAAACTTCAGAATTCTGTTCTCATATCTATCCTTGGCGTGCGGAAATAGCTCAGTTGAAGGAGCGTTTGACTGAAGGTCCCTGGTTCGATCCCGGGTTTCGGCAGATCAGATGAAATTCTCTCTAGGAGTTTAATTTTTATCCAATTTAATGCATGCTTTTTAAAAATATTTAGAGAAATTATAAAATTCGGAATTCTATTCTCATATCTATCCTTCGCGTGCCGAAATAGCTCAGTTGGGAGAGCGTTTGACTGAAGGTCCCTGGTTCGATCCAGGGGTTTCGGCAGATCAGATGAAATTCTCTCTAGCAGTTTAATTTTTATCCTCTTGGCTGCATGCTTTTTTTATATATATAGAGAAATTTTAAATTTCAGAATTCTGTTCTCATATCTATTCTTCTCGTGCCGAAATAGCGCAGTCGGGAGCGCGTTAGATTGAAGATCTAAAGGTCCCTGGTTCGGTCCCGGGTTTCGGCAGATCAGATGAAATTCTCTCTAGGAGTTTAATTTTTATCCAATTTAATGCATGCATTTTTTAAATATGTAGCGAAATTATAAACTTCGGAATTCTGTTCTCATATTTAGCCTTCTCGTGCCGAAATAGCTCAGTTGGGAGAGCGTTAGACTGAAGATCTAAATGTCCCTGGTTCGATCCCGGGTTTCGGCAGATCAGTTGAAATTCCTTCGAGGATATTATTTTTTATCCTCTCGGCGGCATGATTTTTTCCAATATAGAGAAATTTTAAATTTCCGGAATTCTGTTCCCATATCTTTTCTTCACGTGCCGAAATAGATCAGTTGGGAGAGCATTAGACTGAAGATCTAAAGGTCCCTAGTTCGATCCCCGGTTTCGGCAGATCAGATGAAATTCTCCCTTGGAGTTTAATTTTTATCCTCTTGGATGCATGCTTTTCTTAAATATATAGAGAAATTTTAAATTTCGGAATTCTGTTCTCATATCTATCCTTCTAGTGCCGAAATACCTCAGTAGGGAGAGCGTTAAACTGAAGATCTAAAGGTCCCTGGTTCGATCCCGGGTTTCGGCAGATCAGATGAAATTTTCTTTAGGAATTTAATTTTTATCCTCTTGGCTGCATGCTTTTTTTTTTAAATATATAGAGAAATTTTAAATTTCAGAATTCTGTTCTCATATCTATCCTTCTCGTGACGAAATAGCTTAGTTGGGAGAGCGTTAGATTGAAGATCTAAAGGTCCCTGGTTCGATCCCGGGTTTCGGCAGATCAGATGAAATTCTCTCTAGGAGTTTAACTTTTTTCCTCTTGGCTGCATGCTTTTTAAAAATATATAGAGAAATTTTAAATTTCGAATTCTGTTCCCATATCTATTCTTCTCGTGCCGAAATAGCTCAGTTTTGAGAGCGTTAGACTGAAGATCTAAAGGTCCCGGGTTTCGGCAGATCAGATGAAATTCTCTCTCTAGGAATTTAATTTTTATCCTCTAGGCTGCATGCTTTTTTAAAATATAAAGAGAAATTATAAATTTCGAAATTCTGTTCACATATCTATCCTTCTC